AGACCGGCTGAGTAAGGGCCGTGATGGAGAATGCCGCTCGTTAACACATGTAGTGCAGAGGGGGACTGGAGAGCTTAGTGAGTATTCTTGCCCCAGGGCTCCTGCAGGGAAGGGCTCCCCAGGGCCAATTAGTATAAGTTTGCAAACCAGTTGTTGACAACTATGGTAGGAGTATTTACACCACGGAAATGGGCAAACCCTACAAACCATGCCCCTCCCCTCCCCCCACCCTCAGGAGCTGTTTCCCACACTCTATTGTGAGAAGGGCAGCATGGCAGCAGGGAGCATGGACTGGGGTTAGACACTGTGGGGCTGTGTGACTAAAGCAAGCCACGTTGCCTCTCTGTTCCCGTCTGTAGGATGGATAATGACGCCCACGCCAAAGGCCTGGTGTGAGGACTGAGTGGGAGAACATAAGCTAAACTAAACTAAACTAAACTGGCAAGTGGTTGCTGGAATACTAACAGTTTGCTGCCTCTCCTGCTATTTGAAAAGCATTAGGCTAATTTTCATTTGGCTCTTTTTGCTTCTCTCTTCTCTTTAAATATACTTTTGGCCGAGCCCTGACATGCATTGAGCCCAAAGAAAATACAAAAGCAAAGACTTCCCAAGGGAGAAAGGCCGTTTTCCTCTGACCTGTCACGTGGCCTGCCTCGCGGGCCCATCACACAGTGAAAGGGTCAGCCTCCCGCCTTTCTCATCCTCTGGCCCCCATGGCTGTCATGCGTAATTACATTAAATGTGATTTTTTAAAATTGTGATGTTTAAGCTCCTGGAACTGTCAGGGGAAGACAGGTCCTAACAAAGCAACTGTATGTGCAGCTTGTGGTGTCACCACCATGTTCTATAATTATAAGAAAACTAGTTGTCATAGCAACTGCCACACAGACCGAGCCTCCTTCTGGAGATGCTGACAAGCTCCCAGTGCCGGAATCCAAGCAGTTCGGAGAGAATGTGGCTCCCTGAGGGGGTTCAGCTCTCTCGGGAGATAATCACGAGCTCGTTCTAATTCCACATCCTGCACCTTGTGGCACCGTGCAACCCGATAGGCTCTAGAACGCACTGGCTGCGTGACCGTGCACCAGTCACCTCACCTCCATGAGCCTGTTCCCGCTTGTAAAACGGGCTACCAGTGCCCCCTTCGGGGGGTAGTGTGTTGATTATGTTTGTGCCTTGCAGATGGCCTGCACAGAGCCGTCTGCAATGTGTGTATATCAGACACCTTCCATTAACCTCTTCACTGTGGACAAAGAAAAAGAAAAAGTGCTGAATTAGGGGCTGTTTTTATAATCTTCATTATAATAATTATTAATCTTGATAGTATTTGTAGCTAGATAACCAAGTTGTAAATAGAAATTCTAGCATGAATCATGCATATTAGGAAGAGGGAGCGGGGACGGAGGGAGAGAATATTTGGCGACATGAAACTGACTTCCATCCTCCAATATTTTTCCGTTATCGCACTTCTCTGAGGCTAAGGAAAGAATCTCTAATCTCTAAAAACATCTCTAAACAGAGATGTTTCTTGTCTCAGTCTCTGGGCCTCACTTTCCCGTTTGTAAAATGCAGAGTGGGGGGGGCTGGTCCCCAGGGCCTCTTCTGTCTTTGATGTTTGCCACAGTGGTTCTCAGCCAGGGAGGACCTGGCTCCCGGGGACATTTGGCAGAGTCTGGAGACATTTATGGTTGTCAGGACTGCTGTGTGTGCGCGGCATTTAATGGCATTTAATGGGCAGAGGCCAGCAATGCTGTTACGCCTCCTAAGGGACAGGAGGGCCCCCATAACAAAGAATTATCCGGCCCCCAAATGTCAGTAGTGTCAGGCTGAGAAACCTCGGC